TGGGAAATTAGGTCGCAAGTGAATTCTAACCGTAGCATCCATCGAGATGAGAATAGATTGTGTAAGTTGTTATTGGCCGTGTCTAATGGCGGGTAATTTGGCATCTTTTCGGCAACACGAGGGTTCTTAATGACTTTGACCAGGGTGCAACAATTTTTCAGCTGGTCCGGTTGACAGACCGCGACAATAGTTCTTTTTTGTGCAGCTGCAATCTGGAGTGTCTAACATTTTATTGTTACAAATTGCCTTCTTATTAATGATCATATGCATGTATAATTTTCATTGTAATTAAATACAAAAGACACATGATTTTTTATACTAATAAAACAGGGGATTAAAATTCTTCCTTAAAATATGTACTTCAAACACAAACTTGTGGAAACATAATTTTTGTGAAATTTTCTTTAAATTTAAAATTAATACATTTTTTCTTGTAATTAAAAATTAATACATTTTTTCTTGTAATTCAAAATTAATATCTTTTCTTGTAATTCAAAATTAATACATTTTTTCTTGTAATTCAAAATTAATACATTTTTCTTGTAATTAAAAATTAATACATTTTTTCTTGTAATTAAAAATTAATACATTATTTCTTTAAATTAAAAATTAATACATTTTCTTATTATTAAAAATTAATACATTATTTCTTTAAATTAAAAATTAATACCTTTTCTTTAAATTAAAAATTAATACTATTTCTTGTAATTCAAAATTAATACATTTTTCTTGTAATTTAAAATTAATACATTTTTTCTTATAATTCAAAATTAATACCTTTTCTTATAATTCAAAATTAATACATTTTCTTATAATTCAAAATTGATACATTATTTCTTTAAATTAAAAATTAATACATTTTCTTATAATTCAAAATTAATACATTTTCTTATAATTCAAAATTAATACATTTTCTTGTAATTCAAAATTAATTTCTTCTTAAACTTAATTTTTTCTCATCCAATCAAAAATTAATAACATCTGTAATGACCTAACTGACCAACATGACACATGTATATTTTCACCCTACTTTTATTACGAATAAAGGTAATGAACGTAAGAAAAAATTGAAATTTTGTTCCATAGCGAAAGAATTAATATCTCAAGAAATAGTAAGGTACCAAAAGTAGCCACGAGAGCAACCACGTAAATTACTTCCGTGGTAAAAAGGAGGAATGCAAGAGAGTAGCACGTGCATCCCTTGGCAGCCGGAATTAATGAGCAGCAACAGTACCCGAGCAAAACCAAAGTTCAGATTACATAGTCGAGTAATAATGATTGATGCGCACAGAGGATTAACTACTAGCTCGCGATACGACCACGTGAATTTCTTGTAATTCGCTCCATTTCCGAACGTTGAAGATCGTTTATAATTGCTTTGGAGCAAACTTCAGGCACTAGAGATATCAACGGCGTGAAATGATTGGTCGTATCTGATTTTTATTGAAATGGACAAGTTAATTTCCTGGTGTCAGGATTTCAAGGTGTCAGATTTAGAATTTTCTTATTTTCAAGCTTGTATGTTTTAAGATTTGGGAAAGTTTTCAATTGAAAATTTGAGGTTTTGAAAGTTTGTTAAGTCGTGAATTTTTCTATTCCAAAATTGTAGTATCAAATCTATGTGAGGGAGGTTAAATCACTGTATTATCAAGTTTACATATTCGCAAATTCCTATAGGTCAAAATCCCCAGATTCCTATATCCCTAGATCCCAAGATTCTTAGATCAAGAAATTATTATATCCAAATGTCCCTAGATCTCTATATCCCCAAATTCCGAAATTCCTAGATCCAAAAATCCTTTGATTCAAATATCCCTAGATTCAAATATACCTAGATCCGAATATTTCTAGATCCAAAGTTCCCTAGATCCCAATATTCCTAGATACCAAAATTCCCTAGATCCCAATATCTAGATCTAAAATTCCCTAGATCCCAATATTCCCAGGTACCAAAATTTCTAGATCCCAATATTTCCGGATACCAAAATCTCTAGATCCCAATATCTCTAGATCCAAAATTTCCTAGATCCCAATATTCCCAGATACCAAAATTTCTAGATCCCAATATCACTAGATTTAAAATTCCCTATATCCCAATATTCCTATATACCAAAATTCCCAATATCCCAATATCTAGATCTAAAATTCCCTAGATCCCAATATTTCCGGATACCAAAATCTCCAGATTCCAATATCTCTAGATCCACAATTCCCTAGATCCCAATATTCCTAGATACCAAAATCTCTAGATCCCAATTTTTTTAGTTCCAAAATTCCCTAGATCCCAATATACCTAGATACCAAAATCCCAAAATCCCTGGATCCCTAGATATAAAAATCCCTAGACACCAACATCCCTAGAGAGCAAAACTCCTAGATCCAAAAATCCTTAGATTCAAATATCCCTAGATCCAAACATACATAGATTCCAAAATACCTAAATCCAAATATCCCTAGATCCGAAAATCCGTAGACCCCAAAATTTCTAAATCCCAAAATTCCTAGATCCCAAAATCCCTAGATAATATTAAGACAATATTACATTAGTAGAACAGCTGTGCAATGATCCACAATTAAATAAAATTGTGAAATGGAAAGAAACTAGAATGACAATTATAAAGTAGCGAAATGGTAGAATAGAAAACCCCGATACAAAATGTAGAATCTCTAAAATAACATTAACACCAGGTTAACGCCTCCCACAATTTACGAGAAGTTCTTACGAGAAAATTCTCCCAAAGGAAAATAATTGAAACCATCCAAATAGCTGATCTAATTATTGGGTTGTCCGGAAAGTTCGTGCCGATTTTGAGACGCAATCGAAACGCAGCTCTTTTAAATTTGGTATACATTTATTAAATTACAGTCAGTGTAAAAAGTATTTGTACAGTAATTAATTTCAACAAAAATGTTGTGAAACGTCATTTATTAACAAAATTTGAACAAATAAAAAATACATACACATTCTTACATAGAATACATAGACATCTAAGAATATGTATGTATTTTTTATTTGTTCAAATTTTGTTAATAAATGACGTTTCACAACATTTTTGTTGAAATTAATTACTGTACAAATACTTTTTACACTGACTGTAATTTAATAAATGTATACCAAATTTAAAAGAGCTGCGGTGCCATTTTGTTCTATAACCTTTCTCCATCTTTCATGCAACTTGAAAATTCTTTCCACAACGTCTCAGGTTCTTCGGCGAAAAATTTGTCTAAATAAATTTTCATGCCGCCACCGAAAATTGGCACCAACTTTCCGGATTACCCAATACATAGCTATTATAATCGAAACCAGAATAGTATCGAAGAAAAATAAGAACCCACACGATCACCTTTCATCCAACGCATCAAATAGAAACTGCCGAGTTCAATATCGTTCTCCACAGAACTGCAGGCTTAGCGAGTTCGAGCGAACGGATACGGAGAGGAGGATTAAATTGTTACTTCGAGCTTATGCTTTTCCGCTTGCTTACCCCATCAGCCGGCGAGCTTAGCATCGGGATCGATGCCCGAGGGGTAGCGTCGATTCCCAGACCCTTGGCCAGGATCGATCACCGCAACCCTTCTTCGATCTCTCGTTCTGCCGCGTTTCAACCCTCTTGCTCTCTCGTCCAACCAGAATGATAATATCGCGTGGCACCACTGGCGGATGACACCCTCGCTGATAGAACCGAGGCTTCCTATTGGTCGTCGCAACGGGTGCTTGATATTAGAGGGTTTCGACGATTGGTGGCGGGTTGCAACGCCCAGGAAGGATGCGCAGCTGCCAGGACATGCGTAATCCGACGACTGATCGACGTTCGACCGAACGACCATTTCTACCACCATCGTTTACTTCATGCGTACTGGATTATAGACTTCGAGTATCTTTATGCAAATTTCTTTGCTTTCTTTGGAGAATTAGGGGAATTTGGTAGGTTGATTCTTTTTGGGAAATTTGGGGATTGTTTGGGAAGTTTGGGATTTAGGAATGTGGGAGTTTGGGAAGTTAGGGTTTGAAGTATGGGAGTTTTTGAATTTGAGAGTTTTGTGGTTTGGGAATTTAGGGATTTAGGGATTTGGAAATTCGAGAGTTTGGAGATTTGAGAGCTTGGAAAATTTGAGGGGTTGGAAATTTGAGAAGTTGGAGATTTGAGAGCTTGGAAATTTGAAAGCTTGGAAAATTTGAGGATTTGGAAATTTGAGAAGCTGGAAATTTGAAAAGTTGGAAACTGGAGAAGTTGGAAATTTGAGGAGTTGGAAATTTGAGAAGCTGGAAATTTGAGAAGCTGGAAATTTGAGAAGCTGGAAATTTGAGAAGCTGGAAATTTGAGAAGTTGGAAAGTTGAGAGCTTGGAAATTTGAGAAGCTGGAAATTTGAGGAGCTGGAAATTTGAGAAGTTGGAAATTTGAGAGCTTGGAAGTTTGAGAAGTTGGAAATTTGAGAGCTTGGAAATTTGAGAGCTTGGAAATTTGAGAAGTTGGAAATTTGAAAGCTTGGAAATTTGAGGAGGTGGAAATTTGAAAGCTTGGAAAATTTGAGGATTTGGAAATTTGAGAAGCTGGAAATTTGAAAAGTTGGAAATTTGAGAAGTTGGAAATTTGAGAGCTTGGAAATTTGAGAAGTTGGAAATTTGAGAAGTTGGAAATTTGAGAATTTGGAAATTTGAGAGCTTGGAAAATTTGAGAAGTTGGAAATTTGAGAACTTGGAAAATTTGAGAAGTTGGAAATTTGAGAAGTTGGAAATTTGAGAAGCTGGAAATTTGAGAAGTTGGAAAATTTGAAAAGTTGTAAATTTGAGAGCTTGGAAATTTAAGAATTTGCAAATTTGAGAGCTTGGAAATTTCAGAAGTTGGAAATTTAAAAACTTAGAAATTTTAGAACTTGGAAACTGGAGAACTTGGTAACTTGAGACTTGTAAATAAGAAGATAACAATCTGATGCAGTATTTATTTCACTTTTCACCGATTTCGCCTCGAAGATAAACGGTAGACGTAGCGTTGAAAATTTCGCGGGTTATTTATCGAACGCAGCTGCCACGTAAATTGGGGTTACGAGCTTTTACGACCCCGACAATTTGCACCGAGCAAGGGTTAAAAACAATTTTTAATGTTTGTATAACGAAGTTGTAAAGCATCGACGACGAGGCGCCGCCCATTATTGGCACCTGCTCGGGTAATAAAGCAATTGCTGGCGATTATCGAAATTCACGGTTTGCGGAATCGTGCCCCGAGCTAGGCTTTCCTCGAAACTGGAGTATTGAAAACTACCCCTTTCTGTCTTGATGATATTGTATAAATGTAACAAATAAAATATATTTTCGGATATGAAAATTTTAAAATATGGAGGTTTGGAAATGCAAGATATTGCTGCTAAAATATTCCTGATCGTTATTAAATATGATAAGGAATATGACGCGAATAATGTTTACGCGCGCTTTAAGTACCCAACTCCATAATTCGTACAATTAATTCCCCGTCACATTTATTAACGATCAAAAATATTTTAGCGATACGATCGTGAGAAGGGGAAAATATTAACTTAACATTATGATTACATTTTATTACTTTCCGACTTTAATCATCGATATTAATTCGTATCTCTCCTAAATACCGATCGGGTCTGCAATTAGTAACATACTCCGTCTCCGCCTTTAACGTTTCAAAATTCTCTTCCCCCAAATCCTTTGTCAATTAGATCACGCGATAGGCCGCCGGCCTAAAAATTTTCGAGGCGTTCCAATACGGCGATAAAGAGGCAAGCTGCACGATGATAAAGCTTCGGACAGATTAAGTCGTAGGGACTTTCGGATCTTTTACTAACATACGTATGGTAATCGTACCGCCCTGATTGTTTCATCAAAAATCCGAACACCTTGCGCCTTTTGTCCTTTTCCATTCGATTTCACTATCCTCTCTAGTTCGCAAAATTAATGTTTGCCCCGACAAATTCTGTCCCCGAACAAAAAGACTGACTAAGCTTGAAAAATAATAGGAAACCCCAGCCTCCTAACATCGCTGGTTACTCGAGACGGCAGCTGCATGTTTTCGACAAAATTGCCGTCGATGAAATTGCATCGAGAAAATAGGAGTCTTTCTTGCAGGACTATCCTATCTTGCTTTTTTAGCCGCTCCCTTTTTACCCCTTGCCTTCTTTAGCTCTCTTTTCTTCTTAAGTAGCCGATAGTTCAAACCGGTTTTTATTTGCAGGTCCCTCGTTCCGCCTTCTTCTTTTTCTCCCTTTTCTACCAACGGGTTACATACTCTTTCACGCCTGCTCCAATAGAACGAATCGTTTGCAAATTGGCTTGGGTTAGGTCAATTTTGCATACACGCGCCGGACCTGTAAATTGCGGATCCTAATGTTTCTTCTTTTTCAAAGGGTTCACTGTTTCGAGCGGTTCGATGATGTTTGACTTGGTGATTACATTTTTTAGAGGTAGGTATCTAATTATTTTACTGAATATGCTATCTTCTTACATTCTCTTGGATCTTATAAATAATTTAGACAGTTTATATTTTCAGTTATTTACTTCGAACAAAAATGAATTTATCACACACTGGTGCAATTTCATTGAAAAACCTTTCTTCATCAGTTTTATGAATTAACACGTTGACTGCCACATCATACATGGGTGACACTTAAGTTTCTAAACTGATATAACATGTGTATTATTAAAAATTTGTTTGTTTTCCTAATAAAAAATTCTTACATTAACCCCTTCCCGTGCCGTTTATTTATCAGATGCGTCAGTCAAGACTAGCTAATCAGGGTTATAACATTAAAATGAATGAAGAAAATTAAAATGTTGTAACTATTTTATATTCAGGGATCCTTGATAATGCAACTTCTAGTTGGACTTAAATTTCAAGTTGAAGAGTATTCAAAATTTAAATAAAGAACACCCTCCTGAATCCCCAAATTTCCAAATTCCCCAAATCTCCAAATTCCCATTTTCTCAAATTTCCAAATCTCCAAATTCCCACCCTCCCAAGTCCCCAAATCTCCAAATTCCCACCCTCCCAAATCCCCAAATCTCCAAATTCCCATTTTCTCAAATTTCCAAATCTCCAAATTCCCACCCTCCCAAATCCCCAAATCTCCAAATTCCCACCCTCCCAAGTCCCCAAATCTCCAAATCCCCGCCTTCCTAAATCCCGAATTCTCTAAATCCCCATCTTCCCAAATCCCCATCTCCTCAAATCCCCAAATCTCCAATTTCCCATCTTCCCAAATCCCCAATAAGTCGAAAATAAGGGTATTTAGCAAATATTTCGGACATACACCAAGCGACTATGTGAATGTCAACATTCACCGGTGAAAATCGACATTCTCCAGATTTCGATCTTTCACAATAACAGATATATGAAAAATAAATGTAACAAGACATTGTAAAAATAGTTGGTCAAATTGATTAAAAATTAAAACATCACTGGACGCAATTTTCAATTATTTCAATGTGGCAGTCGATGTGTTAAAGAGTTGTATCTACTGTACGTAAACCAGCTACTAAACGACGTAAACCAACTTGGTAAAAGAAATAAAGTAAGGTGTTAAAAGTAACATTCGGTTCGTTAAGAAAATCGTAACGATCGAAAAAAATGACCGCGACATCACGTGGCGCGAATTCGGGATGATCAACGAGGATGATCGTTCAGAATCGTTCACCTGTCCTTATTTCCGCGATAAGACGCGATTACAAAAGGCGGGACACAAACGTTCTGTCGTAATCTTCCTGGTGTTCCCCGGACACTGGCTATAGATTAATCTATTCGAACCATCTGATCCCCGCCTCGTTAGAGGTTGTTCCGTTGCTATTACAAGCTTACCCTTCGTTTCACGTTGCGTACGATCTGATAAAAGTACCACGCAATTTTTACCCTAGTTTCAACTACGTTACGTGGGAAATTTGGACTTTGTACTTCTGGATATGAATTTTACTTTCACACTCTCATTGTATAATTTGTATTTAAAAATTAATTCTATTACGTTATGACTACGTAATTCTATTACGTTATTACCTCAAAAAAGATAATAATAATTATTACAAATGATATGATAATCCTTTCGTACAAAGTTCAACTGTGTTTTGTGTAACGAAACCAAGTGTCCGGATATTTATGAACGGTAGTGTATATCGTATAAACATCGTGTTAACATTCATCATTCTTGTCCAACAGTGTTTAATGCCTCGATGGTTCGACGACAAATAAACGAGAGAACCCAAGTACCCTTGGCGCCTGTAACGACCCCCCATAGAGCTATTGTCAGGGACCTCGACTTTCGACTGGTACACCGCAAACCCCGCCGCTTTTTCTTTTGTCCCTTTACCGATGCAGGTTGCGCTCGTTCACGGATCATCACCGATCTTACGAACACGTTGCGGTTTATACAAACGATGCGGTGACCGATGATGAGCTCTGAACATGATGTTACACATTCGTGGTTAAATATTTAGATTTCACAGCCTGCAATTATTAGCGCCGGAATATGATGTGGAAGAATTTTTTACTTTTAGAAAAAATGCATTGGAGGGGTCTTTCGATTTTAATGAGAAAATGCATCATAGTTTAATGAACTTTGACAAGAAGATATTAAGCTTGTTCAACTTCAACAAGAAAGTACATCATAGTTTCTTGAACTTTGATAAGAAGATACATCAAGCTTCTTCGGCTTTAGGAGGAAAATACATGAGAAAGCTTTTTCAAATTTTAACAAGAATATACATAAAAAAATTTTAACTTCAACAAGAAAATGCATCATAGTTTAATGAACTTTGACAAGAAGATATATCAAGCTTGTTCAACTTCAACAAGAAAGTACATCATAGTTTCTTGAACTTTGATAAGAAGATACGTCAAGCTTCTTCAGCTTTAGGAGGAAAATACATGAGAAAACTTTTTCAAATTTTAACAAGAATATACATAAAAAAATTTCTACAACTTCAACAAGAAAATATATCATAGTTTCTTGAACTTTGACAAGAAGATATATCAAGCTTGTTCAGCTTTAACGAGAAAATCATAGAGTTCCTTCAATTTTAACAAGAATATAGCTTCCTCAGCTTCAGAAAGAAAGTCCAATAATAAAATAATGAAATAATGAAATAATTTAAATAACAACCTAAAACAAAAAGATAATCGCAATATCTAAAAGCTACCTTCTAAACTTCCTGGACCACCCGACGTCATCAGATAATTTCCCTAATCTACCCTGAAAAGCTCTGCAACGAAGAAACACGTTAAACCGTTCAATGTAGAACTTATCGCGGTAAAAATGTCCGTCTGTGTGCGCACCTGTTCGCGTATCCTAATTTAGGAGGGTGGTATGCGTTTTCGTAAAAGCTCGACGAGGCGCACGATGGGTATCAAGAGGCCAGGAGACGAAAGTTATCGCGATAACCGGCCAGATAGAACCGGCGAAGTAGCCATCAAGCCGATTTTTATCTTCTAAATCGTCCCTTCGAGGCAACCTCTGATGTCCTGCGGTTGAAAAACGGTAGCGACTGAGGAGAGTAACTGGCCCGCGATCGAGCCCTCTTCAGGATGGCTGACTTATTACGCGCGCGTCTATGAGGCACGGGTGCGTTTTTATCGAAACCATCGAACAGCTTTAATTACCGCCCGTTATAAATTTCTTTCTGTCCCGCTGTTCTGACTCCTCGGAAGCGGACTTTGACGTCTTATTTAACGGCCCTGCTGAGGAATGACTGTTCTCACTTTTTACTGGTATTTGGAGAATTCGAGAGGTTTATAGGTTAGGTTAGGTTCATTTGTAGTTATTGCTATGCGTGACAAATCTAAGGGTGGCAATATAACGCGTGACAACTCTACGCGTGATAATATAACGCATGAAAATTTCACGCGTGGCAATATAACGCATGAAAATTCCACGTGTGACAATATAACGCGTGAAAACTCTGCACGTGGTAATACAACGCATGCGAATTCCACGCGTTGCAATAAAACGCGTGACAACTATACCCGTGGCAATATAACGCGTGAAAATTCCACGTGTTGCAATATAATGCGCGGCAACTCCATGCGTGGCAATATAACGCGTGCAAATTTTACGCGTTGCAATATAACGCGTGCAAATTCCACGCGTTGCAATATAACGCGTGGCAACTCTACGCGTGGCAATATAACGCGTGAAAATCCCACGCGTTGCAATATAACGCGTGACAACTCTACGCGTGGCAATATAACGCGTGCAAATTCCACGCGTTGCAATATAACGCGTGACAACTCTACGCGTGGCAATATAACGCGTGAGAATTCCACGCGTTGCAATATAACGCGTGGCAACTCTACGCGTGGCGATATAACGCGTGCAAATTCCACGCGTTGCAATATAACGCGTGGCAACTCTACGCGTGGCAATATAATGCGTGGCAATTCCAGGCGTTGCAATATAACGCGTGCAAATTCCACGCGTTGCAATATAACGCGTGGCAACTCTACGCGTGGCGATATAACGCGTGCAAATTCCACGCGTTGCAATATAACGCGTGACAACTCTACGCGTTGCAATATAACGCGTGGCAACTCTACGCGTGCCGATATAACGCGTGAATATCCCACGCGTTGCAATATAATGCGTGGCAACTCCAGGCGTGGCAATATAACGCGTGTCAACTCTACGCGTTGCAATATAACGCGTGGTAACTCTACTCGTGGCAATATAACGCGTGGTAACTCTACTCGTGGCAATATAACGCGTGGTAACTCTACTTGTGGCAATATAGCTCGTGACAACAAGAGTTATAGTCATAGTTTTATAGGTTATGCAGCTGATTGAAATTATTGGGAAAATTGTACTTTATTCAAGGACCAAATATTTTCATATTTTGATACGCTAGTTTATGCAGGAAATTGAGCTGAATTTTTGAGTAAATTGCACTTTAAAATTTAATTTTATTTTGTTCATTTCATAAATTGAAGTTCTACAGTATTTTTCTTTCTAAACCAAAATTAATCGCAATCGGACGATCAATTAATTTCTCCGTCTCATACGACGACAATTACTAGCGTGCCTTCGTGATGCAAAAGTTCCTTCTTTACTTTTCAACGGTACTTTACCTGTACGTACATCCGCCATTTCGTGCGTGACAATTACACTTTCTAACGGTGGACGTATTGCGGCATGTCGAAAGTTTTTTAACGCCTGAAAACTTTTCTTCACGCTCACGCGATTTCGATTCGAGTCTTCCACTGTTGGTCAATCAAGGTTTGTGTTTTGAAGATTAATCGAGTCGAAATTTAAGTTACAGGATTTTAGAAATTTTTGAAGTATGGTTAGGTTAGGTTTGCAAGTTATGGATTTGGATGTGTACGAATTTGAAAATTTTGTGATTTGGAAAGTTGAGAGTTGTCAAAATTCCAAATTCCTATTTTTTCAAATTCCAAAGTCTCTAATTTCCCATTTTTTCAAATCCC